GGGGGGGGGGGGGGGGGCGTTGGAAGGTTAAGTGTGCTTTATGGCCGTGTTCTTTAAGGCTCTAGCGGTTTTGAGGGTTCTATCTATTTCAAAGGAATCAGAAGGTTTAGGGTTCTGGAAGGGCTTAATTATTGAAGTTTCTAGAGAGGGGTCTGCGAGGGCTCAGAAGGGTTACTTCTGGGATTGGGGTTTAGGTTAAAGAGGATTTAGTGTTCAGGGCTTGGGGGAATGGCATTGAACAGGTCATAAATGGAGCCTTGCACACAAAATTACTTGGGTTTTTGGGGCTGGACTTTACTTCGGGCCCCTTCGTACCGATTCTCTCGTAGCGACGTAGTAAGGTCGTCTGCTCTGTGCCCCCCGAAAACATGTGGAAGGCGGGCCATTGCAGGTAGGGTTTAGGGTTTAGGGTTTCTAGCCAGCCCGGGTATTCATCCCAGTGCGGATGGGCAACTGAGCAGAGCAAGCAGTCTCAGAATTAGCCCGTACCCTAAATCCGAAAGCCTCAAACCTTGGATCAAAGCCGCTCCCCAAAAACCCGAAACAACTCCAACTTCACCGAAAGCCCCACACTCCCCAAACCTCCCCCCTTAAACCGTGGAACAAACCCTACGCCCCGAATCCTCACACTAAACAGACTAAACCCTACACCTTGAAACGACAAGTCCTACAGCTGGCGGAATAGGCATGGCTCTGAGCTGCCAGCTTTGGAAGCTCCTGCCAGCGCGATTTAGGAAGTAGGGCTTAGGGTATCTCTTTTTAGGATCTACAGGTTCAGGCATGGTTTGGGCTCTTTGTTTAGCCTCAAACCCTGAACGCTAAGCCTTGCAGATATTGGGTTCTGTGCTGCAGAGCCCGTCATGCTTAGACTGGCATTTGAGACTTCCGATGCAGTAACTTCATACTTGGGCGTTTCAAGGAATACCAGCGTAGTGTTGAGAGCCCGGCGCAAGAAGCCCCAAGGATCAAGCCGGGGTCTTCTGCGGAGGACCTCGACGCTAAACTACAAAACCCCCTATACCCTGAACCCTAAAAACCTAAACCCTAAACCCCTAAAACCTAAACCCTAAACCCGACAAAACCCCCGTCTAAAGCGGCTGAAACCTAGAGGCTGAACCGTTTTGTGGGTCTTGAGCTTGGCTGCTTTCGTTTGGGGTCTCCAGGCTTTGGGGCTTTTGGTCTTCAGCCTATCCGTATCCCTTTATTAGGATGTAGGCTCCCTAAACCCGAAACCCTAAACCCTAAACCCCTAAACCCCAAACCCAAAAGCGGATCGGTTTCGGGAGCTACGTTTCTAGGAGGGATTGGGGATTTAGACGTTTTGGGGGTGCAGGTGCCGGGCTTCGGGCTTGGATCTTAAAAGTTTACGGCCCTGGCTTAAAGGGAAGGGTCGTGGGGTTTATTCAGTCAAGCACTTCGCTATGCATGCTTGCTAACCCTCGGTGCCTCCAACCTGCCATGGTGCTCACTCGCCGCGCTTTTTTGGCACCCCATTGCACCGTGATCAGCACAGCTCTGCCCTAAGACATTCCACATGCGATGCTCTGCTTGAGTAGTTAACTGTGCTCTCATGCTGAAACTGGACAGACATCACATGTGTCATGTTTTCCGCCTCTTGGCGGATCGCCCCTGGGAGGTAGCTCGCATGAGCCAACTCCACACTATGAAATATGCTTGAGCTTGCGATCGCTTGCTCGCACTGATGCTCTTGAGAGAGGATTTCCTCTTGTCCAGAGAATCTGGAGGGATGCTGGGGTCGTAAGAAGCAGCATGTGATGACCTTGGATAAGGGAATCCGATCTATTGCATTATTCTGACTGAGCGAAACTGCTATATGAATCAAACTTAAGAAGACCTCAAAAATACGATGATGATGAAGTCAACTCCGGGTCACTTCCCTTCGAAGCACTGGCCATTGAGCAATCTGCCTTGGAACTGCGGCAGAGTGCCGTCCACGTGCACAGTCTGATGCATTGCCGCTCCATCTGGAATTGGCATGTCCTCCAGGAGCTTCGATGGTAGCGACGTAGTCGAAGAAGACAGGTAAGCCCGCGATGCTCGATTGGCATCTGCCATGATGCCGCCATCTCGAGGCTTTGCCTCGGCATCCTCGCTCCTTTCCGCAGCATCCTGCAGGGTGTGCTGACTACTTGTTCAAGTTTTGCGTGCAGCGAATGCGTGTAGCGATTCGAAACCGAAAGATCTTATAACTTCACAATGGATGCTTCTTATCGTCTCCTGCTGCTCCTCCTCCTCATCAAGCCTGGCCAAAAGCTCTCTGCATGCTGCCGTAGCCGGATCATCGTGCAGCTCCTCCCATTCGATGTCGCCCTGGGGAGCTGTATATTGCAATCTAGGCAACAGCAGAAACCCTCAACAATACTTAATATTGTTTGGAAAAAGTCATGCCTCAGCCTGCTGGGGCTCTTCTTCCTTTTTCTCTTTCTTCCTTCTCTTTTCCTCTTGCTCGTCCAGCTTCGCAAGAAGCTTGTGAATCCTTTGTTCGCCGCATGCCTGAACGACTGCCTCCAGCATCAGCAATCGTCTGATCTTTTGATTCTTCGTTGTGTTCTTCGGCATCTGAACATCGCTCTTCTCCAACAGCTCGCTCAATGATGCACTTGTGGTCTGCAAGATCTCGCCGCTCTGCACCAGGTAGCAGAGCAAGCTAAATTCTTGCCCCCCCCTCCGGAAAAGGAGGGCTGACCCGCACTTGTCCTCCAAGGCCTGCTCGCACACATGTACGGTGTAGCCATACAAGAGCACCTTGAATCGGCAAGCAAGCAGCTAAACGAGCAAGAAGCCAAGGCTTTGGAAAGAGGACTTGATGCCAAGAGGCTTCATCATAATCAAAGCGGAGCTGCTGGATCAAGGCCCTGCAACAGTTCATGAGAAAATCTGAACCCGAATTTCTATCTCTCAAAGCATGCAAGGACTGACCCTGCACATCACTGAATCGCCTGCCGACGTCCAAGGTGAGGGCAGGAGTGATCTGCCCTTGCAGCAAAGGGTCCCACCAATCATCACCCTGGTTCCTGCACGGAACTCGTGTCTCGTCGTCTTTCTGCTCCGGCAAAGGGCCAGCGAACTTGTACGGGAGCTGCTTCAATTGCACAGCCTCGGAAGATTATGGTTTCGCGAGGTTAAGCCCATATCTTGTTTCGATACTGCGACATTCATAATTGATCTTGGCAGCATACAGGACTGCCGGCGTCTTGCCCGTGCAAACGTAAAAGCTGCTCTGGTACTTGAAGAGCATTCCCGCCGTGAAGCACCCTTGCACCCAAAACCCGGATGCCTCCTGAGCGGGGTCCTTGCCCTGCCTCAGGTTCGCACAAAATGAACTTCCACATACGAAAGCTTAAGTCGCCCGTGAATGCGTGCGGCCGCGTGGCTCATGAGCCTTGAGGAAACCCTGCATCGTATTGAGGCAATGGTGGTTGTGGAAGAAGGCAGAGGTGCTTGGGAAGTTCTTCAGAATGTTGTCTGCCGTAACATTCTTGCCTAAGTCAAAGGACTGAAACTCAATGGGTTTCGGTTCGATTTCGGAAGAACACAATCGCTAAAAGCAAATGTCAATGATGCTGGCACGAAGCAAGTCGGAGCCGAAGTTGGCGAGAACACCTTTGGCTTGATCCCGGCAGCTTGAGGCCCAACCCAGTCGTCCTTCGAAAGCTCCAAGGCTTTCGGGCTGCCCTCATGCTTGCAAACTCGTCGCAGCAAGCTTCTCACTCCCACGGCATGCAAATTTGGAAGGGAGCCAGCATCAGCTCGCCCGGCTCGCTTGACAGCGTCACTCATTTCTCCGAACATGCTCTCCAGGGAGGCACTTTGGCAGAAAGAAGGATTCCAAGCAGATACCACTTCTTTGCACTCGGGCTGCATGACAAAGTCGTGCTTTTCCAAGCAAGTCATGGTCTCGCGGTAATGCTGGTATCGCGAGTGGTGGCAGCTCGCCGCCAAAATGGCGGCCGAAGGCGGCTTTGATTCCATCAACAGCACAACTTGCCACTCTGCTTGCATCCTTTTGAGAATGCTTTGCTTCGTCTCGCCGTTGTCTGCTTCTTTCGTAGACACAAGGGCAGCTGCACAGTGCGGGCTGCTCCGTAAGTACAGACTGTACTGCATCAGTTCGTGAACGGTCGAGAGGTAGAGGCCAAAACCTTCCTTCAGAACACTTTCGTACGTGGCACATCTTCGAAACGTCAGTCTCAGGACCTCGAAACATTCCCCCAAAAGCAGCTATATCTAATATACACTGAGACACAAGATACCCTACCTTATTGATACTGTGTTTCACCATATATTCTTGTTTTGGCTTGGGGTTCCAAATCTAGGGACGGCTACAGCAGTTCTAGGATTGACAATGACAAAGCTGCCTTCCAGGTGAGACTCTCGACTCAAGTCGCGAAATCTGTGGGAGCCACCGGTTCAAAGCGAGAGCTTAAGGCACACCTTATTATTGGAAATTCGTTTGAAGGCTAGCTGGCGACACAATAATATCGCAATAGCAGTCACACGTCTCAGGCTAGATTTGGTCCAAGTGAGCCTGCAATGCATCGGGGGCCGCCACATCTGGTATCATTGCCAGATTTCTGCTGCCCAAGGCCGTGGTGGCCAAATCACTGAGTTTCATCTCGAAGCTTCTGCTGTTCAGCTCCAAAGTGAAGTCGCGGTGGGCATTCATCGTGTTGGTGTTCTCTTGCTTAGTTGCGGGCATCAGTGATTCAGGTGCATCTCTCTAGTTCACGAGATATGGTGTCTACATGTCATCACGAGATAGGAGCGAGCTACCAGGGTGCAGGCGAGGCACCAGTTGCAAACAGAGCTCCCTGAAGGGCTCGAGCACGGCCCGGGCCACACGGAAGATCCCGAAGCTTTCCTCATTCGTGAGTGCCTGGAGGTTTGGGTTTAGGGTGTCGGGGCTATTCATAAAAAAATTCGGAACTTTGGTCATTGGTTTCATTGAATTGACACTGAGAATAAGCGGGAAGGCCTTGACACAAAGGTCGACGGTTTTGTCGAAGGACTTTTGGTTCTGTGGGGCGGAGGATTCATTCTCCAGGATCTTGAAAGGATTCTTTCCGACCTCAGGGGGTGAATCAAGGCGTTCACTTGCATACATTCATGCATCTCAGACTCAGCAGCATTACTTAATATTACTAGCACCAGGACCAGGGCCTCCATAGCCGACCATAGGATAAGGAGCAAGCTCGCACTCATCTGAAATCTTTTTGAGGTGTGGGCCCAGGAGCACCATCTCGACCACGAGAATGTCTCGGCATTAAACCTTGCAGCAATAGCTTAATTTTGAGGTGGTCCCATAATAAGGAATCAATGTTCTGTTATGTGCATCCAAAAGACTTGCACGTTTTGCCGAGGATATCCATCACCCGCGTGAAGTTCAGCTGGGTGTCCGAGGTCTCCTCCAAATTGTTCCTGGGCCATGTGTTAATGTCAGGCAAGTAGTGATCGTCAGTTGTTCAGAAACGGGTTAGACAAGCGTCTCTTTGAGGATGTCTCGCTGGAACATTTCCATGAGCACATCGTCGGGCTTTGCCTTTGTCACTGTATGTAGCCACAAAATCGCTAAACTCACAACAGAGGCAATGTAAATGCACAGCTGCGGCGGAGTTGCAACATCTAGATATCTGGTTCCAGCCTCGTTGAGGGTACTGCCAAATCCGGAGGTGTTCCAGGGAGACTTCTTCGCCCTGAAGAGCCAGCCACACAAAGTAGTCATTCCTGGATCAGAATGTTGGCATCCATTGCTAGCACAGTTGACACAACAATTTTGTGTAAGTTTGCAGCTGAAGCTCGTTTGACTGCCGGAGAGCAGGAGGTGACTCTGCCCTGGTGTGCGTGCAGTTTGTGCCTAAGTTCGGTTGGGTTGGCGTTTCTTGATTGGATGATCAATGCCATGCTAGCTTAGTGCAAGAGCCACTAAATGCAAGCAAACCACAGCTCGTCCCTCACCAAAGAGACACTCGCCCCGAGGTGGGCCAGGAACTGGTAGCAGCAGAACATCGGACCACCTTGGTCCGGACATACCACGAGTCTCAGGTGGTCCGATCCCATAGGGACGTCCCATCTGCTCGCCTCGGTCTCGCGGTCGAAGAGGTAGGCTAAGCGGAGGGATTGTTGTTTGTAAATCACACGGGTTTCCGTCTCCCTTGCTGGCAGCAGTGGCTCCGTCGGGAAGCAGTCGTCCAAACTTATGTTCACGTGTGAGAGCACGTTTGCGAGGGCCTTGAGCTCCTGCCTGCTGCTCAATCGTTCCGAACGGATGCTGCTGAGAGCTTTCGGCCTCGATTCGCGATCATGAATTAAATCTGCTGAAACGAAGGTTCAAAAGGCAAGCACAAGTTTTATCAGGCTGAGTTGCAGCTTCTTTTTCAGTTCAGCCTTCTTGGGCTCGGAAAGGAGGGTGCTGCTTCGGGAGTCTGCAACCATTGAAGCCACTGGTAGCTTTTCTTCGGCCGTGGCGGTGGAAGGCAGGAGCGTGGAGAGCCGCTGCAAAGTCCCCATCGTGACCAGCCCAGGGACAGACAGGACTGGAAGCCAAACCTGCTAGTTCTTTTGATTTCGCAAGGGAGGATGAAACATGGTCCAATTTAAGCCGGGAAGCATCCATCTTGGCTTTGGGTGAGGCGTCACAAAGGATTGCCAAAGATTTCATCCCCATGTTGTCGAGGGCCTCCGGGATGGGCACACATGAGCTCTACTCCTCTTTGTGTCAATCGGCCTGCTTGATGCTCAGCTCAGCTCTGCGGGTGTATCTGCACATGAAATCCGACGTTGTCCTGCAGAGTGCACAGGGTCGCCGATTTAAGTTGCGTGGGTTTGGGGCATGGTTTATTATTATTATTATGTGCAGGGTCCTCGAATAGTGGGTCGGACACATAGATTCGAGGCCCAGGTCTTTCAAGGAGGAGTCCATGGAGCTGGAACAGAACCCCCCTCCTCGGGAGATAAACCTATCAATTGCAAGCTCGGCCCGAGGCTTGCAATCGCCCCGGAGCTTGCGGCCGTCCCTGCGTGAGGCCGGGTTCGGGCTGAGGACCCATTTCCACAAGTTTCAATTCAACTCTAAGGCATGACTGATACTGCTGCCAAGCATCTTCGTTGATGGATGGAACTCATAATCAGCTTGCATCGGAGGCATTGCCGTCGTTGCGACCTGGGCCATGCGGCCTTCGGCCGCCTGGCACAATAGATGAAGCAGTCTCCTCTGCAGCCTCGCATAAGCTGTTTGCTCCTGCAGGGACACCAATAACAATCCAGGGCCCAAGGTTCGATTGGGGATCATATTATTGTTTGTTCGTTTATGACTATTATGATTGCTACTGTTATCGTATGATTATTGCTATCATTGTGTTTATTGTCGAGAACTACTCTAGTTTGCCGTTATGTATTGTGGAAGCAAGTAGGAAGTGGCGGCGGATTGCTATTACACTTGTTATGATGGTTATTGGTACATGAAACAATACTAGCATTCATTGTAACATAATTAATAATATCATGGTTAGCACATTAGCATTATTCTTCTCAGTTTGGGAATTTTGTCGTTACTGCTACCAATTATACTACTATTAGCACTACGACCAAAGCTAGGATTATCAATCGCTCGCCAAAACTGTCGTGGTCTCATGACTTTATTACTATTCCTCGTCGTCGTAGTGGTAGTAGTAGTAGTAGTAGTAGTAGCAGCAGCAGCAGCAGCAGCAGTGCTAGTAGTAATAGTAGTACTAGCAGTAGTAATCGTAGTGGTACTACTAGTACTAGTAGTAGTAGTAGTAGTAGTAGTAGTAGTGGTGGTAGTAGTAGTAGTAGTACCAGTAGTAGCCCTGGCTTTTGAGATCAAGGGCCCCATATTTTGTCAGGACAACACCGAAGACAGTCATGTTGACTAAGCAAATAATTACGAAGCCGAGACTCGACTGGATTGGCATAAAATTATCCTCATTACTATGTTCGTAGCGACGAACTCATTATTATATTAGGACTCACGAATGCATGCCGGATCCAGTCCTGAAGTAGTTCCTGATGAGGTAGCCGAAGAATAAACCAGGCGGCAGTTGCCACAGGGATGCCTGGGCAGGGACAGTAGTGACTAAACATAGATACGACAGGGCATGGCGACTTGTTCCGAAACCGTTCGCCTGTATCGACATGTTGCTCCTCCTTCGCCAGGAGTTTGCAAGTTTGCCACCTGCAGGCAGACGTGAGATTCGGATTCGAGATTATGGCGTCTTGGAACCATACAAGTCAAACAAAAGCCTCTGTTGCAAGCCAGAGAAGTCCAGGAAATTTCGCCAGCTTTCCAAGCTCACACATCCCCGCGATATCTTCAGACAGCCTCGATTTCTGAATGCATCCCACCGGCACAAGACAGCTAAGGAGGCAAGGGGCAGTTCTCATTCTCTGGCAGAAGAGCGATGCTCAGCGGCTCGGTGATCAATGCGGCAAGCAAGGCCGTGATGCAGGACAGGGATGATTTTTGAATCGCAGGTTTGCAGCCCCTTGTTTGAAGAACATAGGAAGCCTCAGTCATTCCCGACACACCTCATTGCGAGCCTGAAGCACTCCGACATGAAACAACAATTTAATGCTTTCAGGCCACGATAAAAAGGGCTCCGGGCAGCGTGAGGCCGTCGAAAGGGAGTTTGATTCTGTCTGCATCCACCATCGGCCCGGAGCCTTTGTAAGAGGCCTTGCGAATAATGTGAACGTTCACGTTCACTTTCCATGCCTCTGCCACATCGAGGCCAAGGTCGTCTTGCCTGACTTCATGATTCGATCGCTGCTTGGCAAGATATTGGATCTTCAGAATTCAGAGAATCCCGGGCTCAAGAGTGCAGCAGAGCGGCAGCTTAGTACACCAATTTGTAAAATGCTGGGCTCGCTTGGTCATGCTCCAGATTTCTTCTGCTCGAAGTAGATGTCGGTAACCCTGCAATTGGGATTCCCGTGGCACCTCAGAAACATTTCGTAGTCTACAGAGGTTTGGCGGGGAGTCAAGACCTCAGACCACATCCTAACATACAACAGCTAACCCCGTCTGCCTGGTGCGCTTGGAGAACTCCCCGAAGTGGCTTCTCCAATCTCAGGTACGAGATCTCCGTGGAGGTGTACTCGCATCCGGGGCTCGGCGTCTCTGAGCTTGCTTCATCCTGGACAATGGCCTCTTGTCGTGGGGCAATCTGATTGAAGACTCTCGGTCGCAACGGCACAAGCTGGGATGCAGCGGTCGCTCGGAATTGTGAAATGGCGTCCTGTTACAAGACTTAATTAAAGATTGCCATGAGGATACACCCACACACTGTGTGATAGAAAGTGCGACAGAGAGACACAATGCGAGAGAGTGTGAGAGAGAGAGAGAGAGAGAGAGAGAGAGAGAGAGAGAGAGAGAGGGGGAGGGAACAAAAACATGGAGACAGGGGGGCCTAAGAGGGAGACTGGAGTTAGAGCTTTGGCGGCCAGCCACTGCCACCGA